TTTCACAAAATAATTTAACAAAAAAATATAAAACACTTATTAAATAATAAATTATACAATTTAATTGATTTTTTTTTTTCCAAATCAAATTATTGATATTGCAGCCAAAATTTTAATATTTGGGTAAATCAACCAATTCACATGATTTGAGTAATTAAGGTATCTTAAAAATGAAGTTACCATCCTCCTTTATTGTACCAAAAAAAACTGAAGTTACCATAAGTGATTATTTAAACTATACTATAAATTGTTAATTAATTTGAGCAATTAAAGTATCTTAAAAATGAAATTTTATATGGCTTAATTATTTCCTTAAATAATGAGCCACAATTTCCATAAGTGATTATTTGAAATATACCATAAAATGTTAAATTAATTTTCCGAAATAGTAAACATATTTTTTTGGAGAGAAATAGTTACTATTTAAAAAATAATCAAACCTTTATATATATATACATAGTATTATTTTAAAAAAAATATATAGGAGTCGGGTCAACAAGGTTGACCAAGCCGGGTCAATACCCCGGGTCGGCCGGATTAGGGCCGAGGTTTGACCGGGTTTGACCAGGTCCTTTGTTGCCCGGTCCGAATAGCGCACCCCGACTGATTCTGACTCTGGGTCGACTTGCCGACCGGTTCGGGTTGACAAACACTGATTGTATTTGTATCACATTTTGAGAATAAAATTTCATAACCTAATAGTATACGCAATTAGTTATAACTGTGCAACGATTCGCTTCTTAATTATCTTTTATTATAACGCGTTACGTTTATTATAATTTGCTTGATTATTGGCATATTGTTAACCTTTATTAATTGCCAAATGAATGGCATATGAAAACTTTCAACTTTTTATGGCCCCATATTTGTAACACTTATCTATAAAGTGTGCCGAAGTTGAATTGGTGATATATAGTTCCTATATAACTGAAGATAATAACTAATATTAATAATAATTTTGATGATTTTTTTTTTTTTTGCAAACAAATGCAAGTTGATTAATTAAAAGAGTAAACGCAGGTCACTATTCAACCTAAAGTCTTTGTATCGTATAGTGTGGTCCATGGGCTCAACTCATATTGTGGACGACCCATATATAGTCAAATATTTGGATATGAACTAGAACGTACCCCGTGCGATGCACGAGATAAAAATATTAAATGTGTTATTTCACATGCTTTGTCCGTTTAAGTATATAAAACAATAGGATTATCATCTATTTTTCATCTCTTTTAACCAGCTTTAAGTATAATAAACAATAAGGTTATAATATATTTTGCACCTCTTTTAATCAACGTTATTTTTTTAGTCAAAATATTAAAATAATTAATATATTATTTCACTAACACATTTATCCTATTTAAATTTGATTATAATATATATTTATTCCTTGATACAAGAGAGAATAACAATTTTATTTATTCTTGTTCACCACATAATACGTAATTATTATTTTATTATACACTTTATGTCATATAATATCATTATTATTTATAAAGTTATAAAAGTTGTACGTCTTCTTTATATTTTTATTTTATGTAATAAAAAATATTTAATGCACGTTTGCATTATTTATTTATGTAATTAATTTAAAATATGTAAATAAATTTAATATTAAATAGTGTATAAATATTTTACAAAATATACACATGTTTTTCTAGAATTTAATTTTATATACTAATTAAACAACTTTGATTTAGAAAATCCAAACAACTCGATCCTCTATATGATCAAGATTTTTCTAGTTTGCATTATAAGGATTTATGGTTTATTTAGCATACTCAACAATGAAAATATATTTTACAAGAATTTAATTATAGAAATAAATCAAAATAAAAAAATGAAAAAATATAGTATTGGGTGCCAATAATATATAAATAAATGCTAAACAATAGTTAATATGTTTCAATTTTAAGTTTTTACCATTAGTAAAACTATTTATTGTATCTGGTCATTATCTCTTAAATGGTAAATTATATTCATTTGAAGAACGATTTAGCTTTTATATTTAACAAAATAAAGCTTAAGAAACAAATATATTGACAAATATTAATTCACCAATTTAATTTTGTCTGATTACTTGGAAAAAGAATTCTACCTAATTTGTTACGATTTTTCATAAATATTTTTGGATAAAAAGTGAATATTTGTGAAAAAAAAAAAACTAATATTATGGTTAGAACTTAAAATATGGCGTAATATTATCTTCAGCAAATATTATCAATATGGATCACATAAATCAATCTTGTAATTCATTATAATAAATATCAATGAAAGTATTACAAATATTAATAAAATAATATTTGTCTTGACCAAAATATTATCAACATGAATCACGAAAATCAATCTTGTAATTTATTATAATAAATATAAATGAAAATACTGCAGATATTAATAATTTATTTAAGTAATTATTTGATCTTATTTGAGAACGTGTAAATAGAAGCAATTAATGCATATATAAAAAATTTCCAAAAATAGCATGCATTAAATGTTTTCTAAATTTTTGCTACTATTTTTAGTAAATGGTAATTCTTTTTATATATATATAGATTTCGAAATATATATTTATATACATTGCTAGACATTTATCCCTTACAATATAAATTTAAATTTTTGTTTGAAAAATATGGTGAGTCGATCTGCTTATTTGTTTATATTCGACAGCAAAAATTTTTAAGTTTGAAAATTGAGATATAATAGAGAAAAAAAATGTGTTGCTATAATAACCATAGTCCTCAATTGTTATTCTATCAAATTATTGTGTCAAAATCATTTAAAAATCATCAAACTATTCAATTTTCTAACAAGTAACACATGACATGTTTGAAATAATTGTAAGTGTACATAACATCATGTCACACAACAAGCATCCGGTGAAGTTGCACATATGACATGGTTTGTCTATTCAAAGTTAACTAAGGTAAAGATTGGCCA